GGGGTATGGGGACGACCCGCTTCACCTCATACCGGACGGGGTAAGGGAACGGTCCTGGAACTAAGTTTGTTAAAGTGAATGGTTCACGTGTAGCGGGGACCCCTATGGATCTCCATGGATACTAGTAGGCTGATAAAAGATGGCAATTGTTATTTGATGATTGATATATAAAGTATGACAAATATTATGTTACCGAGTATGTATAAATTCATGATATCTATGAAGTTATTATTTTTGTCGGTCGTTTTATAAATTCCACCGAAATAAGTGGATGGTAAATGGTTTGATTATTGATAAATAAAATTGTTTAAAAAAATTTTTGCTCCATTGGTTATTTTTGTTTTTCTACCAACCTTTATTTCTGTGACAGTGATATAGTATGACATCCTTACTGGGTTAGTGTAGCTCATTCCTTACTTAACAATTTCAGATCAGGATGACTTGATTTTAGAGCTTATTCCGCAGGAAGATGGCGAGTAGATGCCTAAATATTTTATAATTTTCCTTATAGTATTTCATTTAGTTAACTTATTCTTTGATATTGTTACTATGTTTAAGTTATTGTGTAAGAGATATTAATCAGAACTTTTTATTTCAATTCCGCACTCATATTTTTTATATACATTTTCTTTTAAATTTCTGGAACCGTTACAAATATATATATATATATATATATTGAAAATGAACATTAAAAATATTAATTATTCGTACATTAAATAAAGGAAATAATCTCCCTTTACTACATAAAAAGCCTTTTCAAATTTCTGTGAACATATTTAAATATTGAAACATTTAACGTGTAATATTATCACCAAGCTTTATATACATATATACATATATCATTATTAAAACATATCTACAATCTCAAGCTGCAAGTACTGAGAACACCAATTAAAAATTATATAAGTGTATATATTACACCCACCTTATGGATACATATATACATGTATAAAAGAAGAGAAATCATATTTCTCCAAGTTAAGACTATACTAAGTATCAATGGAACCAAGCTCATATGTCTTGTCTTTCTTAATGTTTTTATCGATTGTTTTCATCTATAGCCACATTGCCAATTTTGTTTTTTATTACCTAAAATTATTAATTCTTAATTTTTTTATTTTTATATCTAATATAGTTGATCTTATTGTATACTGGGTGAGATGCGTAATAGTCTGATTAAATGGAGAAATAGAAGATCGTCAACTTTTTTTGTAATTCATTGTTGAACTTATTTCAATTCAATGAATATTCTAATATTATGCTTTAAAAATTACTCGAATTTTATATTTTTTAACACGAGATTCAAAGTCTAATGTGTATTTTATAAATATAATATATATCTAATTTTATATATGAAATATACGATAAATGTGGAATGTTGGAATATTTCTATTGATCAGTCATATTATTTACGTTAGATCAATCATCCAATTACTTTTATTTGAGTTATCCTGAAAATGTCCAATAATTATATATAAAAATTAGACAATCAAATATATTTCTGGATTCACCCTACTTCTTACAAAGTTTTGTTATAATATCTATAAATGTCTTTTTGTTTAGATGTACAGCCCGGTACATAATCATACAGAAGGAATCAGTTTATTAAACTCTTAAATGATACAATAAGAATTGATGCTAAACATCTCTCTAGTGTTTGTACATGCTCCCACAGCAATAACATACTTTCGTTAGTACATTTGTTAACATAAGTATGTAATTATATATCAAATCATAATTTAGCTAGCAAGCATAACGGCCAGATGCATGTTCATTACATATATATACATCCAAGTATAACATCCTTGGTATCATCTTCGGATTGTGTTGTACAAACTGTCTCTACCTACAATGTTCTCCCACCATACTAACGTTTCTAAGCTTCTTGTTCTTAATTATTATATTCACAAGTAATTATTAAAATTTTTGTCTGCCACCTTTACTTAATTACTAACCTAGTTTTCCTAACCACGAAACAAGAACTGTATAATTTGCTACTTTGTACCCTAATTAATCAAGACCCTTCATGGGTACAAACAGTTTTAAGCACCACAAATCAATGGCTTCCTTCTACCTGTTCTTGATCTACTTCTTGATGTTCAGAAAAACCAGTGGAAAAAACTGTAATCAATATTTTTGTGGAAGCCAACCTGTTCGATTCCCTTTCCAGCTAAAAAATCAAACAACTGACTGTGGGTATCTCGGTTTCGACCTCTTCTGCAACTTTAATGGAGAAAGCATTCTTAATCTCCCTTACTCAGGAGACTTCATTGTAAAAAGTATTGATTACGCAAACCAAACTCTAAAAATCAACGATCCCAATGGCTGCATCACCAAGCACTTCCTCAACTCCTTTAACCTCTCCGCCACTCCATTCCATCCATTAACGACGCTACCCCTCACCTTCCTCAACTGCTCATCAAGTAATATTTCGTTTGACCCGTTCGTGGAGTCAACAACGGTTGGTTGTCTCAGCAATGATAATTACACTGTTGTGGTTTTACGCAGCTTTGATTATGAGTTTGCGAGCGAGATGAATCCGAACATGCCATGTGAGAAGATTTCTACTGTTACTGCTCCAGTTTCTTGGTCGTTTGGATCGGATTTAAGTGATGGTGTTAGATTAATTTGGTTTGAACCTTCCTGTGGAGCCTGTGAGTATCAAGGAGGGAGCTGTCACTTAGTCAGCCACACTGACCTAACGTATCTTTGCTCCCTTCCTAACAAACATGGTACACCTTCAATTCTTTTATATACACACACACACATATATATATATATATATGGAGTCTATATATAGATGACTTGGTTAATGGGTTGTTTGTAAATTCAATCTTTTTGCATTTACAGGTCTTTCAAAGCCGGCTTCACTGGTTTTAATGTGTATAGGAGTGCCAGTTTTTATCTTGCTGGCAATTATAGTTCGCATATGGCAGAAGTTGGGGGGTAACAAAGATGAAGGTGAGGCTCCACAGACAGTGACAGAACCGCCATTGCCGCCGGTCAGCCATCAAGAACCGGTTGTTCTTCCTAGGGGTTTAGATGAAGGGAGGATTGCAGCATATCCGAAAATGGTGATTGGAGAGAGTGGGAAAGTAGCCGAGAATTTTGAGAGCAACTGCCCGATATGTCTATGTGATTATAAGCCAAAGGAGACTCTGAAGATTATACCTGACTGCACCCATTACTTTCATGTCGATTGCATAGATGCTTGGCTTAGGGTTAACGCTTCATGCCCTGTCTGTCGCAATTCACAAACAACTTCGTTCATCGTCTAGACCTACTTCTCTATCCTTCTCTGTTTCTTTCCAACATTTTCATCTATGTTTTATCAAAACAGTAGGTATATACATACATATCTTATATATGCATGGTATGTATAGAGATGGGTATTGACGTATATTGGAACTGATATGAAAATATATATGCTTTGCGGCTAAAAATTTCACATCTTTATTTTTATTCTTATGTGTTTCGTATAATTAGAGAACATCTTTGAAGAAAAATAATAGAACCCAGATCGTTGCACTAAGATGTTGTATACTATATATTTAATTAAAACATTTTAAATCAAAAACTTGGCCTATTAGAGTTGGTTAGAGCGTCGTGCTAATAACGCGAAGGTCGCAGGTTCGAGACCTGCATGGGCCATTTTATTTCTTTTTTTATTTAATTAAAGAAAAATCCTAAAAGACAGATTATTATACTAAATATTTTTTAAAGGAAATTTTTGAAAATAATAATAATAAAAGACAGATTGCAATATTAATTTTTAATGTTTAGAGTAGTTATATCTTTTTAAAATAATTTTTTAATATTTTATAACTATTGAATAGGTAGTGAAAAATATATTTAAAAATGTTTAGAATTTTCGCAACTTTCAACTTATTTTTTGACACTTTTTAGTAATTTAATAGCTTTATAAATTCACGACTCTCGACATATTCTTTTGATATTTTATAATAATTCAATAACTTTATAGATTATTATCTAATATTATATAGATTATACCGTATTGTTAAGTAATTTTCTCATGACATAACTTAATTATTGTCAAACATTATAAATATATCAAGAAGTCATTCAATTCTGAAATAAAGAATCCTGTAAAATCACTGGTCTCAACACAAGTACAAATCCATCAACATACAGAATTCATAATTTGTAAATAGCATTGAGAGGGGTGAAATATAAATTGATTCAGAGTCATCTTCCACAAGTAGCTCTCTGAAACCTCTCATGCTTGCTATTTCTTTACCAAATAATGGATTTGAGAAGGAAAATGGAAGATTCTCTCCTCTGTACATTCTCTGTGCCAATTTTCTGCATGCAAATTTCAAGCTACCAAGTGCTGTTCATCATTATATGACCACTACATAAGTTGTAAAATGAAATAATTAAACATCTTTGGAGACATACAGCAATTTGAATGTCAGGGTACCCAACAAATGTAATAATGAAACAACCCAGAAAAAGAAAGGGGGGTGGGAGGAAGAAAGACATAACAATCCACCAATATCACGCCAAGTAGAGACACGAATGCGTTTTAATTTCTATTTGATGTCTACATTTCTGTTGCTAAACAGTTTGAAATAATGCTTATGAGCGGGTACCCAAATTATCAATATTTGTGATGTAAAATATCTTCAAATAAATGGTTTTCCCCGCACTTAAGAAGGGAAAGTCGAGAACTGGCAAGTTATCTTTAACCACCAAAGAGAAATCCTGCAGCCTGCTCTTCATTTCCATTGAATAATTTAAGAGCTTGTATCACTGCACCTCTTTCGAACCCTAGCTCAACAAGCTTCGCAACTTTGGCTTCAAATTTATCTCCCTGCAGTCAAATGATTTTAGATTAGAACTTGTTTACAGAAATTAAACTCAAATCTCAATCCTCCCTGTATGTCCATCTATTACGATTTACACCAGACAAATGGGTGACACCCAAGTGAAAATGAAAATAAGAAGATACTTAGAAGGGAGATCTTCAAAAACAAAAATACAAGAACAATTTACCAGTGATGTGCCACCACTTGCAACTCCTGCGAGCAAATAAAAGAAACAAAGAAAATAGATGGAGTGTTAGGCAGCTAGTTAACAAACAAGAAGCAGTACATATAATAATCTAAACAAAGAAAATAAAATCAGTTTCAAGCAAACTATTTTCACAAATCTCTTTAAAGTTACAAAACTGCTTAGCCAATGGATAAAATGCTAAAATGAAACTCCACCCCCCCCAAACAAGAAAATGTTTGTTTCCTCATATTGATAGCTCTAATCGCAAGAACTCTTATGGCTTTCACGAAGCGCCTCTAATTGCCAGGATGCCCAGTAATCATCCTACTAAAGAGGAACAAACAAGCCATTCTCTGTATAGTTTGATTTCTCACTAGGATGTATACATTTAAACAAAGGGGGAGGGGAGATGAAGTTTAACTAACCTGAAGATTGACTAGCCCCAGGCACACCAGCACTCTTCTCTGTTGGCCCAATTGTCACCTGAATAATCACATGCATTAAAATTCCAAATCCATAAGAAACTGCAAAAGAAAGTATTGGTATCTGTACATCTACAATAATTGATAAAGAAATCTTAAGTTCAATGCTCTTTTTTCCATAATCCTAAATAGCAGCATCAACCAAGGAAATCTTTGTCCCAAAAGGCCTCTCCTAAACCCTGATGAGTTTGGGGAATTTTATATTTCCAGCAAGTTGGTGTACTTCATGCATGGGAAGCCATGAAAACTGAGGCAACAGTGCTAAGCAAGGAACTGTGATACTGAAGCCAATGCTGGATTCTTGTGGGAAGTTGAAATTTTGAACCCACTGCCACAAACCAAAAATACACTCAAATTGAAACCACTCTTCTCTGGTTTCTCCTTATCCACATTTGTGCTAGATAAAGGACCGCTGTACTCGAATTGCAATTCACTAACATTGAGAAATAAATAATCCATTTATATTTACACCAGTTTCATCTGGGACTCACATTTAATGGATACCTGTACTCTAATAAGCTTTCTTTTAGGGAAATATTCTACTGGCCCTAAAAACAAGCAGAATTTAGTAACTTGGTTTTCAATAGATGCAAACAAACCTTACTTGTTTTAATTATCAGACAACAAAGAATAAGGAATTATCTACTTAGTAAGAGCACACATAAACAGTAAGCTTACTGCAGTTCCTGAGCTAGATGCCTCTTTAGAGTGCCTCTCTTCATCAAGAAAGCGAGATGGAATGTCCTTTTCTGAAAACAGAAGATATTTTGTTAACAGACTCCCAAATGTTACAGTCACATGCAAGAGAGAAAAATGAGCGGATGCTTTGAGAAACATTTAACATTATACTGTAAAGAGATTGTCAGATCCACCTTGCAAGAACGGTACAGAAACTTCTCCTCCACCAACTTTCAGTACATTTTCCTTCAAATCAATTGTGCACTGGGAGAGAAAGGGTAAAAAGAATTAAAACTCCAACTAAATTTTATTAGAGCCCCGGAATGGATGGGGATCAGCTATTAGACTGATTGATGATGCTACCTGATGCTTGCGAAGCATATCCAGCCCAAAGAGGAATTCCATATTGGGAGAATCCAGCACCAAGAAGGAGCAGGGGTAGAAGTTACTTCCAATCTACAATATAGATGGAAGTACAGGGTGATCAACTAGCAAATGAATATGCAAAAAACTAAAGAGATATCAACGTGTATGCATACTTAATTTAAGCCCATGTAAAAAGAAAAAAAAAAAAGAACTG